ACTGCAGTGAGGTGTCCTCCCAGGAGAGGTCCATCAACCCACTCCCCAGGTGGACTCCTGAGATGGGTGTTCCCAGCTCACAGCTCCTTGCTCCAAAGAGGCTTAGACTACATCTGGAGACATCTGTTTGCATCTCCCTTCAGTGCAGCCATGTCTGCCAGACCAGGGTGGCTGATGTCCAAGGAAGGGACAAGGACTGGGAAGGGCGCTCCTTCCCCACGGCCACCTGCCGTCTCGCTGCCTGCCTCTTCCCCCCGCCTGTCTTCCCCTGGCAGTCTTCTTCCAAGCATGTTTTCTTCCCACTGCTGACAGCCCTGGTTATGACAAGCAGAGAGCAAGCTGCAATGCAGATCACCTGTGAGGCTGCAGGTCCCCTCCTCGGTGCACTGCAGCACACGCGGCCAGGTTCAGCCATGGGCACAGCGCTCGGTGGGCACGGGCATGGAGCTGGGGAGAGCAGGGCAGAAACCCTTCGCCAGACCAAACCAGCCGTGCAGTGACCACAGCACCTGCACCGCTCCTCCCATGCGCCTGCAGCCAGAGCTGAGCCTGGTGTTCCCAGATTGCTCTTTTTGTCCTGACCCCAGCAAAGACACTGCCCTGTTTTCATCAGCACAGCCCTCCTCCTGCTTTTAGGGTCAGGTCTGGGGAGGCCTCACAGAGCCCCTGTTACCCGCTGCTGCCCCTTTGCTCTGCCTAGAGGATGCCACCCACAGACCGGGCTGCCAGCTGTGGCCGTGCTATTTGTGGTGCCTGGGGCTGGAGAGCTCTCGGGGAGGGACAGGCACACGGCGGAGTGCTGTGTGTCCATGTGCAGCGGCTCTGAGGAGGGCTGTGCCACGGGGTCCCACTCGGTGGGTGACAGCCAGCATCCCTCTTGGCTGCAGAGGTGTCCCGCAATGACTCCTGCTCTGACCTGCCCGAGATCCAGAACGGCTGGAAGACCACGTCGCACACGGAGCTGGTGAGAGGGGCCAAGATCACCTACCAGTGCGACCCAGGCTATGACATTGTGGGGAGTGACACCCTCACCTGCCAGTGGGACCTCAGCTGGAGCAGCGACCCCCCCTTCTGTGAAAAGAGTAAGTGCCCCCAGCAATGTGCTGCTGTCCCCATCGCACCCCCGTGACCCACACCGCTTTGTAACGGCTGCTGGTCCCCATGCCGGGGCTCCCCACTCAGACAGCCTTTTTTCCCCAGTTATGTACTGCACGGACCCAGGGGAAGTGGAGCACTCGACCCGCCTCATCTCCGACCCGGTGCTGCTGGTGGGGACAACCATTCAGTACACGTGCAACCCCGGCTTCGTGCTGGAAGGCAGCTCGCTGCTGACCTGCTACAGCCGTGAGACAGGGACACCCATCTGGACCTCGCGGCTCCCACACTGCGTCTGTAAGTTCGGGCAGTTACTCCTGCTCCCCCGCAGCTTGGGTCCTCTGCTCAGGGTTCCGGGTAGCCCTTTCCTGCGGCCAAGACCTTCCCCAGCCATGTGGGGTGGTGCAGAGCTTTGAGCTACCTGAAAGTGGGATGGGGTGGGATCCTGGGTGCTTCCCCACTGCCTCCCAGGCTCCTTCCCTCCCTCGGCAGCCCAAGCCCTGGGGCTCACCCCAGGATGTATTCTCTTTCAGCCGAGGAGTCGCTGGCCTGCGATAATCCAGGACTACCAGAAAACGGCGACCAAAAACTTTATAAGCGCCTCTACTTGCCAGGAGAGTCCCTGACCTTCATGTGCTATGAGGGCTTTGAACTCATGGGGGAGGTTACCATCAAATGCATCCTGGGCCAGCCGTCCCACTGGAGCGGCCCCCTGCCCATCTGCAAAGGTAACAGTGGGGCTGGGGGTACACGAGGACAGGCACAACCTCAGCCTCTGACCTGGGGCAGCCTGGGGACCCTCGTCTGGCTGCAGACCCCCAGCGGCTCTCTAGCTGGGAGCTAAACCCATCTGAGACCAGGGTGGTTTTCTGGGCTTGTGCTGAGCGAGCTCTGCTGCCCCGGGGAGGGGGAGCAAACCCTCTGGCCACCGTGCTGGCGGTGTGAGCCGTATGGGGCAGGCCTGGCTGCTTGCCTGCTTTTCTTGCTTTGTTGCTTCCCATAGGGGTTTGCCCAGGCTCAGCAGGGATGCTCTCCGCTCTCCTTGGGCACTCACTAAGATGGGAGAGCTCAGGCCCAGGAAACCCTCTAGGCACTGGTCTAAGTAAAGCCTGGGTTTAGTGTGCTTTCTGGACACAGGAGGACCCTCCCCGTGCCACTAAGCTGCAGGGATGAATCGTTCTCAATTGCTACTTCATGAGAGTAAGTGGAGACTTTGTCTCTTGGTCAGCGGGGCTCTCTGGAGGGTACCACCGCCCCAGGCAGAGCCTTCCTGCCAGTGTCTGGCTTGCCCATCCCGCTCAGTCCCATGCATGAGCTTACAGAGACTGAGAGCTTATTAAAAACTGGAAGTTTGCAGTGTGACGGGACCAAATGGGGCAGGGAGACCGGGGCCTGGGCTCCCCACGCAGCCAACAGCTGCCAGCCCCCAGTCAAACCCAGTTACGTACCAGTAACTCTCCATTTCTCTTCCAGTGAATCAAGACAGTTTTGAACACGCTCTGGAAGGTGAGTGACACGCATGTGCTGGATGAGCCCTGGGCTGGGCCCTCAGCCAGAGCCTGCACGGAGCCCGGGAGGAGGGAGGAGAGAAACAGAGGCAGAGAGGGGATCACAAGGTGCAAATACCAACATAATAGATCTTGTCTTTTTAGTAGCAGAAGCTGCTGCAGAGACGTCACTCGAGGGGGGAAATATGGCCTTAGCCATATTCATCCCAGTGCTGATCATCTCCTTGCTGCTGGGAGGAGCGTACATCTATCTCACAAGGTGGGGCGTGCAGTCGGGCTGGGGGGCCAGCGGCAGAGCCCCATGGGGACGTGGACAGGGCTGGCTCAGTATCGCTGTGCCCTTACCGGCCACATGCCTCAGGCACAGTCCTGGGGAGTCGGGCACTGGGGTCCTGCACCAGGGTCCCTGGGGTGCTGGCAGGGAGCTGGGATGGGGGGATCGTGGGAGGATGGGGCTGGTTGTGCTTTGTTCTGGCGTCGCGCCGTGCAGCCCAGTGACTCTTGCGTCTCCCCCGCAGGCGTCGGTACTACTCCAGCCTCCGCCTGCCCCTCACGTACTCCCACCCCTACAGCCAGATCACGGTAGAAACGGAGTTTGACAACCCGATTTATGAGACAGGGGTGAGTCCCACTGCACCCATTCCTCCCTGGGTACCATCCTGATGGGGAAGCGCAGGTTTTGCTGGGTGTGCAGCCACAGGACGAGTCCAGCCGTCCTGATGCGGGAGTGCTGAGTAATGGGGCGGGAGGCTCCATCCCTGTCGGTCACTCCTGAGGGGCCGGGTGGGCTCCAGCAGGCAGGAGGAGGCAGAGGGGGCTGCGGGGTCCCGGCAGGGAGGACACCGCTTCCCCGGGAGCAAAACAACAGCCGGGGCCTCTCTTGCCGCACGGGAACTGGGAGATTATTCTGAAATGCAGCTGCTGCCCTCAACTGGCTTTTCCTTCCTTTCAGGAAACAAGAGAATACGAAGTTTCAATATAAGGACAGTGGTAAGAGAGTCTCCGGCTGCGAACTTAATGTGCTCTCATAGAACTTCCTCAGTAACTAATCCAGAGACCACGTGGAGTTTGGTTGGACCCCTGGACCTGCTGTTGTCTTTCCTTTTGCCTCTTTATTGAAGATTTTACTGTTTTCTTCATTGTATTTATTCTATTTAAACCGCGATAGGTGTGCTGCAGAGCCCTGGGCGCAGGCAGCAGCGGGAGCCGGGGCAGAGCTGGGTCCCGGCAAGATCAGGGTGACACAGGGGCACCTGCTGTCCCCCCCGCACGGCAGCGTGTCCCCCGGTACTGCCCCCACACACAGGGGGACTTTTGCGGTTCTGATGTTGTTAAAAATTAAAAACTTCTCCATTGCAAGAGCCTGCGGTTCATTGCTGGGAGCTGAGGTAGGCGCAGGGTTTGCTGCAGGGTCCCACCGGCGCTGCCAGCCCTCCTCATCCCGCAGGTCCTGGCTCCCGTCACCCAAAAAAAAAGCCGGGGGCTCGGAGGCTTGTGTACAAGGGAGCACAGGGACTGCCCTCGCTGCGGGGAAGCAGAGTGCGGCTCAGGAAAGCTGCTGGCCGGCGTGGAGCCCTGCTTGCCACGCCGGGGAGCGGGGGACGGCCTGGCACGCAGAAGGTACATGCCGCTTCCCACTTTGCTGATGCTGGAGAGGCAGCGAGCCAGGACTCAGTGCCCTGCGGAGAAGCATTAACCACTGACCCCCAGCA